CAGCAGGAAGACCCCAAAGGCTGACCAGGAGGTCTATGAATTTGGGGCTCAATCATCACAATGTGGAACCTCCTTGGTCCTTTATCAACCTCCTAGAATCTATACCTGACACTCACGCCTTGTTCTAGACTGAGATAAACTGCAAACACGATTCTCCACTTCCAGAGACACGTTCACCCTGTCACACAGGGTGATGGGTGATGGGAGAAAATTTACTCTCTAATTACCCCACCATTCTACCCAATACCTCTTCTGAAATAGACACCTGTTGTCCCAGTGATACACACATCTCTCAGTGCCCCTGTGTGGGTATTTGGGGTGAGGCCAGTATCCCTAATAACAGTGCAGCGGAACAGTTGAACAAAAGCTTCAGTTCCAAGGCTCAGAATGCATTAGAAAAGTGGCCTGAATGGAGAAATGGAGGTCAGCCTGATTCTAACCAGGGCTTGAAATTAGTTGACATCTTAAACTATTCCTAGTAAAACTCCGTATTTTACTTTTTCATTTCAGCAGGTGGGAATTATTTTGAAATTTCTGATGATCTGATACTTGCCACCCCTGCAAGCCCATCTTTCTTGATAGATTACTTTCCAGGGTCTTAACTCAGTATACATAAAGACCTAGGCCTCGTACCCTGAGTAATGAATATTGTCAGCACATACTGACTCTGAATTAAAAAACTGACAATGGGAATGTTACCTGACAGTGGCAATGGGAATATTAGGATGTAATATATACCAATCAGTCCAGTAAATTTTGTAGCCTTGGCTAGTTCATCCATGTTGACATTATACATTCTCAGAGCATTTTCAGAGATAGGAATAATTTTGATTTTATTTTTACTTCCATCTGTGAGAGAATATGCATATATACAACCGCACGTTAATTATCGTCGATTAGATTTATCATGGCACATTTAGGGTACTAGCAACAGTACATCCTGTGTTGATCTCTGTCTCACTGCATGGGTGTGCTGAATGCTACAACTGATTATAAAGCAAGGCAAGCAGGGAATACTTTTCCTCATTCCCACCTTCTTATAGAATTAAACTGGCCACACCTTGCTATCATACTAAGATGTTTTCTAGAACATGTGTTTTAATCCAACAGTTTTTTTAAACAACATGAGAAATTTATCAGATCCCAATTGTACAGTTCTTTGGTTTTCCATGATCCCAGCCATGGAATTGACTTCTCTTTGGGACCAAAGTCAATAAACCACTCAAAACTTTGTGATCCTGAGTGCCTTCCCTGTACCAGGGAACCGTCTGAACACTGTATGTTAATTATTGCGTTTCCTCTGCCCCTCGGTCTAGGTTATTACTTAACAAATGTGTAGAGACCACTACCACATCTGTTGGTATGAAGACAGTTTTACTTGCTAGGATATGCAGGCAGTGACCGCCTAACAGTTAATTCACACCCCACCTGGAGGGTTGCACCTTCATCTCTGGCTCTGCCCGTCCACTCTGCCTTGTTTATCTGGGGGAGAATGAGCAGCGACCTACCTTGCTTTCCTTCTAAACCCTATAAATGCATTCTCTCGTCTAGCCCTGCATCACACCTTACTGGAATCGCTCATCCAGGTAGGATGTAAAAGTGCTCAGCTGTGTTCCCGAAACCCCAAATACCATTGCTCCTTGTCTGAAACACTGAAAAAGCATTAGTCTGCTTGAGAAAAAGAAAAAAATAGCCAAAACAGCCTCAGAGTCTCACAGCCCCAGACAGGTACATGCGTCTTGCCCAAGTCCACTGAGTCCATGAGCTTTGGGTTACATTGGGACAATTTAAATCAGATTATGCATCTCTTCAGGTCCTCAGTGACCACCTGTGTTATAACCGTGGTTTTACAGAGGTGGACATGGCAGCATCACTAGATAGGGTGTAAAGGCAATGAAGGTGACGGAGACAGTGAAAGTAAATCTGTCTTCCGGGTCTCGCGTCGCCATCAAGGCCACTACTGTGCGCTGCATACTGTGGATACACGTTAGAGTCCCCAAATCAAAGAGGGGGGTGTGGGTTTCCAATAGCTACTTCTCAAGAGACCTGCACAAGGCCAGCTACTCTGTTTCTCTTTGATCTTAAGTTGCCCTTTCGAAACCCATTTAAATGATTCACAGCAGTGGAGAAAAGTGACGAAAATTTAGTAGAAGCATTAATGCACCAGGCAAAGGAAAACGTAATACAGGAGTTAAAGAAGAATCTACTCCCAACCTAAAAATTACTGATGAATGCGTAGGGGTACGTTTCAGGCATGTTTTACTTACTTGTGTTCATTGTACAGTCACTTTGCTGTTGGTTATGTTAGGCAAGGGTAGGAACCACAGGTTGATAATGTTTACATTTTAATCCAATACGTACCCCTTAGACCATTCCAAATTCAGGATGAATGAATTAAAAAGGACTTAGCGATAGAAATCTGAGCCAGCATCCCCATTGCTTTGAACAGAAGCTGTGTTTATGAAGAAATGTGCTGGAGAACTGAAATCATTTATGATATCCTTGGATTTATATTCATCCACCAGACGTTGGATGGATTAAGGTGTTCTAAGATTGTTTTTAAAAAGTGTACTCTATGGGGGGCTTCCGTGGTGGCGCAGTGGTCGAGAGTCCGCCTGCCGATGCAGGGGACACGGGTTCGTGCCCCGGTCCG